CTTGTGAATGTGTAAGCTACAAATTCAGTGAAGGAGGATCTGAGTGGTGCTGGGAAAGAAATAACAAAGCTTGAGTACTTCTGGCTGTTGGGGCCTCTGTTGTCTGTGGGTTGTGTTTGGTCTGCCTTCTCCAAGGGGGATTAATATTTATTAGCCCTGTAACAAGTCTTTTAAAAGCTTGGGCCTAGTTCCCTCTCTGGAGTGGAAAAGGATTTTTGTGCTTCTGAAGTGGTGCTTGCATCTCCGAAGCAAGTCAAACAAAGAGAAGCTGCAAAATGGGCAGTGATAATGGCACTCTCACAACTGGTCTCATGTTTACTAAGCAGATCTTGCCGTTAGACTTGAAACCTAAGATCAATTCAAGGTTCTTCCACTAAGCAGCCTTTGATTGAGGACTGGCTCATTGCCTGCTAGGTTCTAACCTGTGGTATAGCATAAATTTGGGGCTCTGGGTAAAACCTGAGAGCTTTTAGAAATAAAGGCCCAAGATCTTTTCATGCTCCTTTCTTTGTGAATGATTAGATTACTTTGTATTAATTGAGCAATTTCACAGCCAGTTTGAACAGTAAGTGGCCAGGATAGGGCTCATTGGCTTGTTTTCCTGTATCAAAGAGAGAACACCTTAGGATGTCAGATGGTATTGCTCTTAGTAACAGTCTGCATAATGATGTTTTGATCACACTTGGGTCACATATATGCCAGTGGTCCCATGAGATTATATCACTTAGTGGCATACTCTAGCGTACTTGTACAATGATAGAATCACCTGGTACATTCTCAGAATGTGTCCCACTGCTGAGCACTACGAAGCTGTATCTTCAGCTGGACAAAACTATAAAACTTTCCTTAGAGCACGTCTTAATTTCTGTCGTCATATTAATTTTATGTTTCCTCATGAGCCTTCAGAGGCTCACATATATGTTCTGTGCCCAGTCCCTCCACGTCATGGCCTCTTGTAGCTTTGTGCCAGGATCCACGTTGATTTACCATTTCAGAGTCTTGGTATAATGTTGTATGGTCTGATGCAAGCACCACTTCAGAAGCACAAAAATCCTTTTCCACTCCAGAGAGGGAACTAGGCCCAAGCTTTTAAAAGCAAGTGTATGGAAAATACCAGGATATGGAAAAAAAATACAAGCATATGGAAAATTCTGCATCTTTGACCTGAGAAAAGATCAAAATAAATAAATAAGCAAATAAATAATGCTTACAGGGCAAAATAAAACAAGAGAACTACAGTAAGAGCAACTAGCTGAATATTCGCAAAGGAAGAAAGTACATTTAAAATAGCAAAATTTAGTAGGAGCTAGTAGTTATGAAATCCTTATCCTCTAAATTTGCTAATGTTCACAGTAAAAAGAAAAAGACATTACAGATTCTTATATCCTTTTACTCTAGGCCTCTTAGGGGAATGAAGGACAGAGACCCTCTTTATTCCTGTTGCAAGATTGTTTTCAACATCCTAGAAAGGAGAATATTTGTTTTATTAAAAAAACTCACTGGGCACAGAAATTCAGTATCTTTCTTAGTAACACTATCCCGCAATCTGGAAATTCTTATATCTGGTATGATTCCTTTCTACATCGGCTTATCAGATTTTAGTTAACTTAATATAATATAATATATAATATAATATAATATATATATTAACTTTTAGTTAATATAATATATATATTATAAAAAGCACAAATTTGAGTGTACAGTTTATAATTCTTTTTTTTTTAACAAATGTACATCAAGGTAACCATTGCCCAATGTCTTAGAAGCCTCTCTCTTGTACCCCCAAGGATCATTGTCATCCTGTGTCTATCAACATGAATTAGTGTTACTTGTCTTCGAACTTCATATGAGATCACATAGTGTCATTTTGTATCTGGCTGCTTTTTGCACTGCTGTCTGTAGTTTATTTTTGTTAGATGTAGTAGTTTATTTTGAATAGTTATACACTATTCTATAGTTTGAATATAGCATGTCTGTTTTATCTGACTGTTGATGGATATTTGGATTATTTTCATTTGGGAGCTATTATAAAGTTATTATGATACTGATTGCCATGCTTTTGAGTGAGCGTATGTCCTTATTTTTCTTGGGTAAGAGTAGAATTTCTGGGTCATAGGGATATGGTTTATTTAGCTCTAATAGGTAGTAACATTTTCCAAAATGATAGTAGTAACTGATACTCTTCTCAGGAACAGCTCAGTGTTAGGGTCACTGTTGTTCCTCCCCAGCAGTTTTCATTTTTAAACTGTTTAAATATAGTTAGTCATCCTGTTGGGTACATATCTCTTATCATAGTGTTAAGTTAAATTTCTCTCATGGTTAATGATGCTAAGCACTTTTTAAAAAAAGTGTAGTCAAGTTTTTGCTTAGTGTTTCTTTTTGATTTATAGGAGTTATTCTGGGTCAGTCTTTTGTCAGGTGTATGTATTTTATATATCTTCTCCCATGTTGTGACTTGCCTTTTAATTCTCTTCATGGTGATTTTTAATGAAGAGAGGTTTTTAATTTTAATGAATTTACTAATATTTTATGACCTATTTAAGAAGTCTTTGCCTACCATCAAGTCTCGAAGATATTTGCCTCTATTTGCTTCTAGAAGTTTTATTATTTTACCCATTTGGGATAGAATTTTTTATATAGTATTAGAGGCTAGTTGTATATATAGAAAGAATTGTCCTTTCTCCCACTGTAGAGCCACCTTTGTCATAAAGCAGATGACTGTGTATTTGTTTCTTGACTATCCATTGTGCTTCTACTCTAAAATTTCTGAAATTTTATGTAATCAGTTTTAATTATTGTGACCTCACAGGTACTGATAATCAGTTCTCTAGCTTTGATTTTCAAAATTGTCTTGACTATTCTTGACCTTTTTTTCCCCATACATTTTAGAACCAGCTTGCCAATTTCTATACATATAGACACATACAAACCACCTAGACGTTGTGTAGATGTTTTATTTATTTATTTTTTTAAGAATAGGGAATTTTATTGAAGGAGAAACATACAGCTCCAGGGAGGCAGGAGGGAGCTTGAGCAGGTTGCTCTGTGTGGATGTTTTAAACTTGCAGAATAATTTTGGGAGAGGTAACATCTTTCTTTGTCAGTAGTAGCTGATTTTTATCAATTCTGCTTTTGGAGGGTGAAAAGCCATGCCCCTCTGCCTAGTTTGAGGCTGAATGAAGTCTAGGGATCCAGCAAGGGCCAAGGTTTACCACTGTTGACTGATTTCCAAATGGGATTGTGCTGTGTATCTTTTGTCTACACTGCTATACCCTTCCTGCCCTTTTTGTGCCCTGGAGGGTGATTGGTCTACACTACTGAGTGGGTTCCCTTGCCCCTGTTGCAGTCAGTGTGAAGAAATATGGACAGGTGACTTGAAGGACAAGAGAGAATGAGGTCAGGGTCCTTGTTTCCTAGCTTCCTTCCTGCAGGGTCACAGTGTGCTGGCTGTGCCCTAGAGCAGAGGTTGTTGTAGCTCCCACCCAACAGCTGTTCTCTGTTAGCTCTTTCTCTCTGGGCCTCTGCCAGTCTGAAGGTGATAAGGGTTCCCTCCTCACCAGCGTAGGGGGTACCATACCTTGTTATTTCCTACTACTTTTTTATGCATTTGCAAAAACTCAGATTCCAGTTGGAGCAGGTCATCTGTTTACTGCCAGGATGCTGAGACAGAGAAGGAGGAGGAGGAGGAAGATGAGGAGGAGGAGGAGGAGGAGAAGAAGAAGAAAAGTAATTTTCTGGGCAGTTTTTGAAAGAACATTGAGAGTGAGGACCAGTTGTGCTTACGGTCATCTTGCTGGGTCTCCTCACAAAATGTGCTTTTGATTACACCTTCCAGAATATAGCAGAGGTTCTCCATCTTTCTCCTTCTAGTGTTATTTGGAATCATCAGGGGACTCTTTGTAATTCAAAAAATCAAATCAGTAGTCTGAAAGTGTACTCTTGAACGACAATAAGCCTTTTAACCATGAGTTATTTTTCACTTCATGACTTACTAAGTTGATAAGGATGCTGCAATGTTTGTGCTTGAATCTGAGAAACATCCACAACACTGCCTGAGGACATTAGAAGGTGAGGTGAGAGTGTCAGACTGAAACAGACTTTAAAGTAGTAATAAAATTGCTGCTGTTTGAAAAATTAGAGTTGAAACACCTCTGGGGATAGCAGCCTCAAACTACTGTGAATGAGAGAGAGTTGTACTAATTCTTTAGTGAGTCTTATATTGAAGTTGTTGAACTCCTCTTTTGACAGTAGGTTATTTAGTTGTCTGCTTTAGGAATTATTTTTTGGAATGACGTCTGCAGTGCTGGTGAGGATTACTGAATTTCTTGCACTAAGATAGAAATCATGTCCAGAATATGATTTGATGACAACCGTAATTAACCTGGATCACACATCTGATCATACTGGCAAATATGATAGTACAAAAACTGTTTGCATAGTAAATAAAACAGGATGCCACATGGGGTTTTACTTTCTTAAGCAGTAAGTAATGGTAGAGTTCTGTTGTGATGAATTTAATAGGAAAACCTATTATGGGTTAATTTCTGTGCTAATCTCTAGGTGAATTGTGTCTTCAGTTTTCACTGTCTCCTGGGGCAGCTGCTGGTTTGCTTTTCCCAGTTGCTTCCTGGAGTTGTTGTCTAGCTGCCGTCTGTGTATCATGGAAGCCCACCCTTCCTCCGTCTCTGGCCATGTGCTCTAGGAGGTCACAGCATTGCTTATACCAAGAGCAGCAAAATGGTGGCCATTAAACATGTTTATGCCACATGTTATTTTTTAAAAGTTTTAAATTGGGAAGTACAAAAATCTCAATTCAAAAATCTTGATTTTCCTTTTAATGGATGATCTGAGGAGAGTGGCCCCTTACAAGTAGTGGTGCCATTCATACAGCTAGGAAGTTTGTATGCCTTTGGATGTGAGGAATCTGAGGACTCTTTCTACTGATTTAACAAATGTTAGTAGCTATACTCAGAATTTTCCCCTTACACTCTTAATCACAGAGCCAAGACCATCAAGAATACAGTCTCTGTAAACCTGGAACTGACAGCAGAAGAATGGAAGAAGAAATATGAAAAAGAGAAAGAGAAAAACAAGACTTTGAAGAATGTTATCCAGCATCTGGAAATGGAACTGAACAGGTGGCGGAATGGTAAGGAAGAAGGGGAATGGGGTGGGGAGAAGGAGGCGTGAGTGGTGCTTTCTCTGTTCTGTGACTGCTGGCTCCTGTGAGACACTTGGAATCGTGGTTGATTGAGCTTGGTTCAGTCTTCCCATGACTATGGACAGCAAATGTTTCCTTTTCCCTCACATGATGCCTCACGCCCACCCCATGACTTGGTTGACACACATGGGGGTAGGCAAGTAGCTATTTGCAGGGTTCCCCTAACTACTTCTAGTGAGATCTGTCTGTCTATTACTGCCCTTCACTGTCTTGTCATTTTACTTGAGGTCTGGAAGGCAATGTCTGAGACTTTGTCATTTTATCTGATTAATTTTATCCTCAATTGGGGTGAAAGTCACCTCTTGCTAATACTTGGCCTCCTTGTTTTAAAACCTAATGTCATGCTCTGCTTCTTCAGAGACAGAAATAGAGAACTCCTGAAGAAGCCCTGTGCTAAAACGGAGCCTTTCAGGGTGGTTTCGTGACTAGCTTTCCTTCCCCCCCAAAAAACATTCTCTTTGGTTTGTTCTGCTGGGAGAAAATATCTCAGAGAGCTGACGTACAGTGGGTGGGTGGACAGTGGGTGAGGCGCTCGGAGGGGTTTCCAGATTCAAGTGTAGACATATGTTTTTAGTGACTTTAGCATTGTGGTGGAGGTTAGAAGGTAGAAGCCTTTTTTTGTCCCCTCCCTGAAATAAGGTCAGTTGGTGTGTGTGGTGTAGGGGCCTGGTGGATAGTTGGAAGTCGTCCCCCAGCATCTTTGGTGCTGCCGCAGACCTCAGCCCTGGGTGAGTGTAGAACCGGGTGCTGCAGGTAACACCACCTGTTTGTAGCTGCAGAGAGCAGGAGACTTTGTAATTGTATATTTGCTGCTGCCTTTTGCTAGTAAGGGTGGGTGTCAATGAGCTACTGTTCAATTGAAAAACAATTACATGGCAAATGAGAATTCAGAGAGGATCAGAAAATGACCTAGTAGCCTAAATAACAGGATTCTTCTCTTGTCAGAAGAGTTTCTAGCTGCACATGTGTTTCAAAAGCTGCAAGAATAATTGAATAATTCAGCACCTGGGGTTGGTGGATGATTCCAGGCAATTTGGCAGGAGTAGGAGGGAGGGAGTGTGAAAGGCAATATGGGGAGTGGCTGTGGGAAGTTTTATTCTATTCCTGTAGTTCTCTTGGGTCAGTTCTCTGTGGGGTGGCTGGGACTTTCATTAAGGCCTTTTGGTACAGGGTTGGGGGACAGGCCTTAAATGCATTGTGCCCTAGCAATTAACCTTGCTCTTTTCCAAACTTTCCCATGTCCTGCCAAGCTCTAACTATCCAGTTCTCCTCCCATCAGTGCTGCCCTCTGGGGTCTGCCCCTGCCTCGTTTGTCTGACTCACTGCATGCCAAGATCTTCTTAGGCATCTGTTGTGCTCTTGGCCTTTTTGCTTGGCATAGTTTTAACTGATAATTCCACTCACCTACCTTGAAAATCTAATCAAAAATTTACTATTTTCTGTGCTGTTGGGTGAGATTCTGTGTATACCCTTAACTTACATAATTTAGGAGAAAGTAACACATAGTTTCTGGCACATAATACAGCTATAATAAATGTGTGTTAAATGAACTTTATTTAATGTGGGTGCTTGACATGAAAAGGTAGGCAGTCAGATGTGAACTCTGCTCTGAGCAGGGAGGTAACTTCAGTCACTCTTGATGATGTGTGATGACGGTCTGTATTGCATACTAAGAAAGGGAAGTATGTAGTGCCAGGAGTAATTACAGCTGAGGACCTGACCTCCAATAAGAAGCCAGTGAAAGCTTCTGGAATGAGCAATAGAAATGAGAATCACAGCTCTTAGCTGGGTGAATTAGGAGATGAGGGGCGAGGATAGAGATGCAACTGAGAGGACTTAAATAATTTATAATAACTGAGGGAAAAAGGACAGTGTAGGGGTGTCTGGGGCCTGAGGTGGGCTTAGAGTAGATATGGGTGGTCCCAGCATGTCTATACACAATCCTCATCTAAGATTTCGTCATTATCTTTGAAGCAATGAGAAGCCATTTCTGAAAATCCAGTGATCGGGCTGGATTGAGCAGAAGAAGTACTAAGGGGTGAGATAAGGGCCATTGAATTGAGAGACATGGTAATAGAAGTAGGAGAGATGAATGGACCTGAGAGATAATTTGGGAGGAGCAATGAGCAGGATTTGGTGAAGAATTAGGTATGGGGAGACAGTTGTCAAGGACGGCTCTGTGGTTTTGGTCTAGGTCAAGTTGGAGGAAGGGTAGAACCTGAGACCTAAAACGTGGGAGAAGAGCTAGGCTGGGGGTGAGGGACACAAGGAAAGGTGTCAAGAGGTAGTAGCTGGGGAAATTTGAAGAAGGAGTTAGATTGGAGGTCTCGTTGCCTGAGCTGGAGAGAGAAGGTTGTGCATTGTCAATCTTGATTGATGACTGAAGGCACAGACAGGGGTGAGGGCCCTGTGGACCATATGGGAAGTGGATTGGAAGGAAGAGAATAGGGAGAACCCCATCATTCCCATTACTGCATCACCGCTGAGTAAAATGGGATCAGGGAAAGGGATTTTGCAGATCCCTCCTTCCTTCCAAATTAACGCTTGTATTTTAAAGGTGAGTGTTCTGGGGCGAAGTTCTTAATGCAGAGAACCTCTGATGATAAAGCTGTCAGGTTGGACTGAGGTGCTTAGGGGCAGTGAGGAGACATGGAGTGACCCTCGACCAACCGTGAGTGCAGAGCTATCTCAAGGATTAGCTGCATAGCACTGATGTGTAGTGGGTGTCATGCATATAACACACCAAGCCAGGCTTTCTGTTATCTTCCCAAGACTGGGCGATTAATCTTTAGCAGTATTCCTGCTAAAGAGGTCGGATGGCTCCCTCAAGGGGATCCATCTCTGGTGGAGCTGGCATCTGATGTGAGGGGGGCTGGACTCCAAGTTTATTCTCTTTTGTCATGAGTACTGCTTGTACATGGAACTAGCATTAAATATTTGTGTGTGGGCCAGTGAGGGGAGTCTGGAAAGTTCTACCCTAAAGAAAGAGGAAACTGGAAGGCCTGCAAAGACATCCCATATGTCAGTTCTGATTCTTCATAGCTGAAGTCATGAGTGGATGGCTGGTGGTCTAAACTAGAAAGTGGGACATGGTAGGGGGGTAGAGGAGAGACAATGCCCTTAACTCAAATCAGAGTAGTAGGGTACTGCCATCTTGCTCTTGAAATTACACACACACACACACACACACACACACACACACACACACTCACACACACACACACTTCTAACATTGTAGGCTGTAGCTACTTAATTTACACCAATGTTTCCTGAGTATTTATGTTTCCATGTTGGGGGCTGAATGAGTTATGAAGAAGCCTTGTTAATTCTTTCCCAGGGAAGGAAATTTCTTCCCTTACATGATGTGCTTGTACTTTAAGAGTGTCACTGCTGTCTTTCAGCTGTCAGATAGCAAGGAAGGAGGGTAACAGAGATGGTGTGTGTGTGTGTGTGTGTGTGTGTGTGTGTGTGTGCATATGCATGCTTGTGCTTTTTCCTACTTGTCATAGAGAATGAGGTATCAATGCAAGGGAAGAAGAAATCAGTTACAATAATGAAGGGAGGCACATCTGATCCAATTGGCAGTGACTGGATTGGGCTAAGGGAGGGGCATGCCCATTGCATCCCTATGTGCCCTGTCTTTTCTTGATCCTCATCTATACCAATTCTCAGTCCCTTATAGCTTGATGCATGCTGTGGGGTGAATGTTTGTACCCTCCCAAAATTCTTATGTTGAAATCCTGCACCTCAAGGCGATGGCATTAGGAGATGGGGCCTTTGGGAAATGATTAGCTTATGAGGACCACAGTGCTCATAGGAGGCCCAAGGGACCTTGCTTTTCTCTGTTCTCTGTGTATGTGAAGACAACGAGAAGACACCATCAGCAAACCTAGAAGAGGATGCTTACCAGAACCTAACTGTGCTAACACTCTGTTTTGGGATTTTGGCCTCCTAAAAGGTGACCTGTGAATATCTGATGCTTAGAAGCCTGCCCAGGCTATGGTACCTTGTTTTAACCACCCCCACTTGGAGAGGCCAGTGGGCTACATCTGCATTTAGGATAGGCAATCTTTTCTGTGGGGCACAGTTGAACCTTGATCCTCAGAGCCAGGCCTGTGTATTCTGCCCTAATCCTTATTTCATTTCTAACATTGCTATGAAGACAGGCTAGCTCTGGGCATGTGTGTGGTGGCTTAAAGAGAGCCAGCCATACTTTGTTTTAATAAAGGAGGCAGGAGAAAGGCCAGTGGCCTGGTTTAGTACCCCAGTGTGCCAGTTATTGTCTTTGTATTCTAAGTGACAGACATTGACCTTGCCCAGGTTAAACAGAAAGAGAATGAATTACAAGAATCAGAGTGAGATCAGGGATACAGCTTAACAGAACAGCATCTGCCTGGCAAGCATGAGGTCCTGAGTTCGATTCTTGGTACCAAAAAAAATTTAAAAATGAAGAACCAGAGTGATTCACAGAATAAAAACAAAAAACCACAAATAGCTGAGGATTCAGATTTGTACAGCCAGAAACTGAAGTTGACAGGCAACAGAAACAGATTATCAGGTCTCATGGGTCCCTGTCTGAAATGTATCCTCTCAAGACATTTTTTTCCTATCCTTGCATTTTAAATGTTGGCAAGCTGGAGGTCCAGGATAGAAGTGGGAGTACTGTGCTTGGTGGTTTGTTGGGTGGGGAAAGACAAGGCACATTGTTAAGCTGTCTGATTACATCAACATGCAGTTGAAGGAATAGTTTCTCAAAAGGAGGTTGAGGTATTGCTATGAGAATGGGCATTGGGTGGCTGAAAAGTAACAAAGGTCCCCCATACTGTGGTAGTGACATATTGTGGGCTTGAATTAAACACCAGCTTTCATCAAATCAGGAGGATCTGCTGGCACTTGACCCTTGTGGAAACATGTTCACTGGTTTGCTT